GAACCGCTCATATGTTCATTGACTTATCGTATTATATATATATATAGATCATAAAGAGTGCTTTTCTACGTCATAAAAAATATATATACAATATTATCGTATCAGTATTCATGTTAAATAAAAATTTCACAAAAATAAACTAATTCTTACAAAAAATCTAAAAAACATAATAAAAAAAAAGAATGAACAATGAACAACACATAATTATAAACCCTTACCTGGGTAATCCCTTTTTTCGTTGTGGCTTATGTTGTGAGCCTCCCTATCTTTTTCTTTTTTTGCTAAAGTTTTCGGTTGTCATATTCTCTTCAATTTTTTCTTCTTTTTTCTTTTGATTCGTATTATGCATTCCTTCGATCGTAATCATCTACTCAAATATATATGCCGTAGATAAAACACTTAATGATTAGTTCATGACTTTCCACTTGCTCTTCGGACTTTGCGGTTAATGAACCATAAATTAAACATTTGAATCTTAACCTTTCTATTTTAAGTGTGAATTAATTACTCATTTGACCGGCGATCTTTATTTTTTAATTGAGAATTATTTAACTCTTGTGAAAAAAATTAAAATGCACTCTTTCATATTCTCAAAAAAAGGACACATGTCACGCCCGTAGGAAAAACTCTACTTTTATATATAAAAGATTCTGAAGTTTTTTTTTTTTGTTTTCTCATGTTGATAAAATGATACCCTATGGTTGTGTCGATGAATAAATCTACCGTTTTGAAATCATTTATTCAGAAAAAAAAAGGTCTATAGATATGTATTTGCGTGCCATGTGGAATTTCTTGAGAGACAAGAAACTGTCACTTGTCTTTGTTGGGGAGAGAGAGCGAATTCTGGGAATGATATTATTGGCTCGTACCTTCTGGGCCTAATGGGCCTAAATTCGTAATTCAGTTAGTGAATAGTAGACCCATTAACCCGTTTAAGGCCCGTTAAGTAGTTCGACTTCGACAGCCTCTTAAACAGTACAGTAGCAACGTGAATGATTTTGTCCTGGCTTATTTCCCCGAGGAGGAGGAACTCAGAATATTTCAAAGACTAGTATCCATAATCTTTTAATCTGTCATTTATTTATTTTTATAACTAATACATTAAAAAAAATATCGAATTAGAATAAATATCTTAAGTATAATATTAATATGAAAAAATAATTAATAAAGGTTTCTTTTAATATTAATTAAATTATATAACTATTTTTAATTATTTAATATTTATCAAGAGAGAGAGAGAGAGATCCGGTCAAAATTCAAATCCCTCCTCTCCATTTTCTTTTATGGCAATATATACTGTAGTAAATTAGGGACTTTTGGTTACTTATGTCACATAATACGGAAAAG